ACAGTATCCATAATACTATCTTTATGTTCATTATTCAATTTTCAAAGATAAATGTTTTTGATTTTTTTTTTTTACATAAGGTTTATGTTTTAAGTTTCGGGAAATGTATGTTTTGTTTAAAATGTTGAGATTATTAGTGTATTTTTGGCTTTGCTTCTAATGAAACAAATGCTTAGGGTAACAATCCACCCCAAATCAAACTCCAAGTTCTTTCAAACCTCTTACACACATCTGTGTGACTATTAAATTTGAATTGGACTCTTTGGTACAGACTCTTTGGTTTGATCCAAGAGTTACAATAAATCACAAATCAAACTCCAAGTTCTTTCAAACCTCTTACACATGTATGTGTGATTATTAAATTTGTACGGACTCTTTGGTTTGGCCCAAGGGTTATTAACATTCATTCTAAGCTCTTCAAAATCAGAAAGTTTCTTCTTTACACATTTATCTTTCTTTAGTTCTCACTTTTCACTAGATGCAACCAACACCAATTTTTGCTCAATTTTAAAGGTATCATTGTTTCTTGCTTGAGTTGGGGATATTGTTAGATGGAGGGCGAGAGGCAACCTTAGTTTTGGGGATAAATTTAGTAATTTTTAAAATTACAATAGAGATAGATTTAGAGGGATGAATATATAAAAGTAAAGTGGATATATAGTTCTTAAATGAATGAATTTAATATGGTTAATATTTGAATAAATGTGGATGACTATAATACTTTTTATAAAATTTAAAATTTTAGTAGGGATGGATATATAAATTTTGTGGATGAAAATAACGTACCCTAAATTAAATCGTTTATAAGTTCTTCACAAATGAATATAATCATATTTGCAGTGGTTACCATTTGATTATATGACATATTTAATTAGAAACATAAGACGAGTCAAACAACCATTATAGTTTACAACATCTACGTAGGATTGGGACGTTAAATTTAGGTATGAAAAGTTGATTTTGAAGTTAAGCGATCACAACAAATCATAATAGAACCATAGAGTAAAAAATTATCCTAAGAAATAGGATACTTATTTTATAATAGTTTCTCATTTTGCGAATCATATAATAAAATTTTCGAACCGGATTAGTGTTGGATTGTTTAACAAGCAAAGCAACTTTGGTAATGTAAGAAATAAGAATGTGTCAAAATCTTATAGATGTTAGGGGATGTGTAAAAATTGAGGTTAATGGATCTAAATTACCAGTGACTCGACAGAGGATGTTCCTTGAATCATTTTCCATTTTTAGCCTTCATCCTCTCAAACTGACTCTGACTGAGACGTGAATTTCAGTTCCCACAGTTGGAGAGTCAAAATCCGGTCAAACCGATGAATGTGAACCGGTCGGTCCGTACTATTCATTCTGCACTTGTACCAAAACTGGCGTGTAGGTGTAGCGCTCAGTATGGTCCGTACTGCACCGCTAGATCATGCCAGAATCAGGACCATTCATTCTGGAGCTGATAATCGTAATGATGGCATGCGACTGAAATCTTCTTTTAAGAAAAAAATTGGACTAATCTTAATTGGCATAATAATTTAAGCGTACTGTTTTCTGCTTTTTTGTCGGCACGCCAAGTCGTCAATGCACGCTTGTGATTTTCAATTTCACGTATTGATCTTACAACTTCATCATTTGATTTTGGGATGTGACGTTGTCTATGAGGCTTGCACGTTTCTAGTACAACATATTGGATGAAATAAAAGAGAGATAATTTCACTCGATTCGATTGCTAAGACGTATAAAACAGTCCATTTACATGTATAGTAAAATCCCAACTTCACACATATTTTTTGATATCGTTTGTCATTTGTTACTTGAAGAATTATTAGAGTATCTTTTACACGATAGACTTAACGATTTGTCACATATTTATATTAGTTGAAGTTGCATTTTTCATTTTGTGGGGTAAGTATCTACTCTCCATTTCTCGATTTTATATGCGAGCTCGAGAGAATCGCTAAGTAGATTTATTAACACATGATGCATGCATTATTTGACAACTCACTCACATGTCAATTGTCAATATTATGGGACGTTCTTGTCAATCTTGATTACTATGTTGCCGACACGAAATCGAGGTAGACATCACGCAATTATAAAAATAATATGCAACTTAATGAATGGCCAATAATTCAAATTAATGGTAATATAAACAAAACTAACCTTAGTAAGTATTCTATAAAATATGAACAAGTTAAGTCTAATTAGGTGGTCGTTGTATTGTGCACTTAATTTTTGCATTGGTGCATTCAAATTTCAAAACAAACACGCACTCTCTCAATCTCGTGTCATGTCGGTATCTAACGTTAATTTAAGATTATTTTCGTGATGATCTAATTGTCTTGTGTTTAGATCTTTTCTTTTCTTTTCATTTCGTCGTCTGTTTGGACCTACTTTGGAACCAAAATAAAATAATATAAAAACAAAGATATAGGCATTTTTTCTGGTTTTGATCGGGCACTACACCGTTTTTCTTGACAGTTGAAGAATATTATTTTAATCTATTGAAGATTAGAGTGGTTCATACCAGGCCAAATTCCACAAGAATTATTCTACTTGTACAGCAACGGTTCGATCTTGTCCAGTTATATATTAATAAAAACTAAATGTTCTGGATTATTCTGATGGATTTTTGGGTCCCTAGCTTATGACAAATTTATTGACGGAAGAGATAAAAATGTAAAAGAAAAAAAGGAATTATTGACAAATGTGGAGGTGTCGGCGAAGGAAACACAGGACTGAAGTTGTTCAAAAGTCGCTGGCAAAAGAAGTATTATAGACTTGCCCCTTTTCCTTTATGTTAATTCAATTATTTTCTCCAAAGCAATCATCATTTAACTTTAAATTTGTTACTACGTAATCACTCATCTTTAACGATTTACTAAATAATCACTCATCTTTTCATATGATTACCCATCCATCACTCTTTTAACACTCATCTCTCCACATTGACAGAAAATTACACGTGGATAATAGAAATTCTACGTGCCATTAATTATGTTCAAGTCACCAAAAACAACCAAACAAACACGCCTTTATATTATTAACTCAAATCAAAATGAATGAAAAAAAAGAAGAAAAAAAAATTGGGATGCTGCACGGAGAGTTTCTGAGAGTTTATTCGTGCTGCACGGACTCTCTGTGCTGAACGGAGAAACTATTAGTGCAGCATGGAGAAAAGAGTAAACTCTCAGTGCAGTAAGGAGAGTTTCTTTACAATTCCTCCTCCTTGCACCTCTCTTCTGCAAGAGCAGCTTCAGCTACTATCTGCGTTGAGAAAACTAGATGCAATGCTCCTGGTAAGAACATTTCTATCTGCTAAAATCTAGATATTTTCTTTTAATGATTGAGTATGCCTTTCTCCAATGGCTAATGAAATTAGTTTTGTACATATAATATATTAACAGCAACAAAATATATGATAGAGAAAAGCAAGGAATCATTGAAGATCAAGATAAATCATTGAAGATCAAGATGATTGATGATTAATATGATGTGCTTAATTTTAGGAATTGTTATATATCTTTACATATTTAGTTTATTGAGTTGTACTATAAATTGATGGTTTCTCAATGAATAAAACAACAACTCCAATTTCTATCTTCTCCATATTTTCTTCTTGGTATCAGAGCAGGTTTCGAGCTTCCGCTTCCGGCGAGCGGCCTAATGCCGCTCGTCCGGCCAACTTTTTTTTCATTTTCATTTTCTTCTAGTTTTTTTTTAAAGCTTATCCATCAATTTTATGCCGCTCGTCCGGCCAACTTTTTTTTCATTTTCATTTTCTTCTAATTTTTTTT